GGGGACCGCAGACAGCGCCCCAGGAGACCAAGGGCCAGAGAGGCCCTGCCCAAGCCTGGCAGCAGCCTAGTCCGCAGCTGGCTCAGGTGGCTCCCCCAAAGCTTCAGGGGTAGGAAAACGGCTGGCCGGGAAGTTTGAGCAAAACCTAAGAGCTCTCCTTCAGCTAGAGACTGGAGCCAATACGCAGATCCTCTGCTGTGGACATGAAGCGAGAGACTGATGGTTCCAGAGCATCCAACCAAATCCAGGAGCAGCAGGGGAACAAAAGAAGAGGCAGAACTGCCACCACTTGTGTGCAGACAGAATGAGTCAGCCGGGGAGGCGTGGCTCGGGCTGCTGGCTGCTGTTTCCCAGACTGGAGGACAGGGCAGCTGAAGGAATCCAACCCAGGAAAGCCTACATCAGAAGGAGCACACAGGCTGGGCGCAGCTCAGAGGCAGGGTGCTCATCTAGCATGCATGGAATGAGGCCATCACAAAAGGAAGAGTGTGCATTTCACGGAGAAAATTTTGGTTTGCCCCAAATTTCACTTTGTTCTTGGAGTCCTGGGCTCCTATGTGGCTCACCAGGTCTTGGATACCCTGGATAACCTCATGTGCTGTACAGCTTCCCCTGGGTACCAGTGCTGCCACCCTCCAGTCTCTGGCTGGCCTTCTACTCAGCTCTGGACCCACCTGTCCCCTGAATGTCACCTCCTCACTTGGCAAGTTATAGAAGCCCTCTTCACTTGCCAACTCCATTCACCAAACCAGGTCACATTACTTCTCAGCCCAAATTGGAGACCTTGAAGTCCCCAGATTGAAACAACTGCCTGGCCTGCTGCCTCCGGCCAGATGAAAGCACTGTCAGAGATGGGGCTGAGCAACCTTGGAGCCTTCCCAGGGCCCTGACCTCTCCCAGCACCTGGTGACTAGCCCCACACCACACAGAGCTCAGGGCCAAGATCAGATGCGCTCAGTCCTGCTTTTGCTAACAACTGTCCTGGACCCATGCTTCACAGGGCAGACCCTTTCTGTGTCACTCAACAGCCTTTGTATGTGCAGCCCAATGCGTCCTGCCACTCTCCTCCCCTGTATGACCATTCTGGAAGCATGGTGGGCGCTCAGCTCTCACTTGAAAGCCTGCTGCTTATGCAGCTTGGAAAGTTCCATCAGCTTCCCAGGACCAGTTGATGATACAGCCTCGGTGGACAGGCACTACTGTGCCCGCTGGCCTCAGGAAGAGGCTCTCCATGTTTTGTGCCCATCGATCTTTAAATGCACTGGTCATAGCCCTGATCCATGGTAGGGAAGCTGTTTTCACACATGGATTCCCCTCTGGGTCACTTGTCCTTTGGAAGACACAAGTATGTCTCACTCATTTTTCCACTGTCTAAAATACCTCTTTACCCCACAAAGGTGTGTTCTACAGTACCCTAAGAACACAACTATGACTTTCAGCCATATGCACATTTTAAAGAGTCCTTCCATAGTGTCTATCGACTGAGGTAAGCAAAGTTTTGAGCCATAATTATGGTAAAACTCAGCGAAGAGAGGTTATCCTGGTGAGATCCATCATGAGGACTGGCAGGACTCTCTGATGACCACTCCCATGACGAAGATTCTTGTTTAATAAAAACATGTAGGCTCTAACCAGTGACTATTTCAGACTATTCACTCCAACAAAGCAGAACAAGGAAGGTTCTAGAAAGTTGCTGGGTTGCTCAGAGAATCACAAAAGATACCACCTGACATCAGCCAACCAACAGGGGCAAGGCTGACCTGTGCAGCTACCTGGATAAGAGGCAGCCAGCAGTGATGGGGCACCCAAGGGTCCAGGTCAGCAGAAGACACAAGTGGCTCTGCCCTCATCAGATACAACACCACAGCTAGAGAGAACTGGGTGACACCAAGAGAAAGCCACTTTCACCCTGTTCCGGAAAGAACTCAGAGGCCAACAGCACTGAGTTTCCCTTAATCATTTCCCTGGAGCTCAAGGTTTGGGTGCTCCACTCAGTGTCCATCTTCTTCCCTTCTCAGGCACAGTCCACACTTACCACTGCCTGGACAGTTAGTCAGAAAGCTTGACATGTGCCCACATCTTTGGGACACTTGTGTCTCCCATGCACAGCGAGTGCCCACTGTGAAGATGGGCCGCTTCAGGCTGTGGCCCAGGGTGCCCAGGGATTGACCATGCACTGGCTCATAGGTGCAGCCCAAGGCTATGAGTGATGACAGCTGGGGCACAGGGGATACGGGAGATTTCTAAGATTGCTGAGCCAAAATCAAAACCAAATAGGAACTGACTCATATCCATTCTGTACCAGCTATGGAAGGGCGAAAGGGTCTGCTGGAAATTTCCACCCAGGGTGCCTCTGCAGGTCCTTCAGGGCAGTGTTTCCCCCAAACAGGCTGAAAAGATGCTGTAGAGGAAGATGGCAGTTCTGTGCAGACATAGACCCCCACACAGCTAAGAACAGGGGGTGGAGGGGAGGGCATGGGAAGCCCACTGTGGCACTGGCCCTGCAGGTGAGAGGGGTACTTCTCATCCTTTAGTTTGGGCCTTTGTTGATCTGCTGGCAGAAGCCCAGAACCCCAGGAAGAACAACAGCTTCTCCACCCTGACTTACTGCCCTCATGACTCCTTGGCACCCACGGCCAACTACAGCAAGCATGGCAGCATCAATAAAGATCCCAGGACACAAGAGACATGGCACATCAGCTGCCACCTGCCCTCACCAACGCTGATGAGGCCCGAGTGCTCTCTGAGCTGCTAATTGCTCCTCTGAAGGCTTCGTTGCCTCTACTTCCTTCTTTAAATGGAGGTTTCATTTGTGTTTTCACATCTGATCATGTGACTCAGGCCTCTGGCTTATTCTTCATCTGTTTTAATCAGCTACTTCGAGCCCTTTAGCCGCCATATTCGGGCTTGGTTGCTGTGCTTTTCTTTCCTGATTTAGTTTCTTTGGCTTTCAATTAAGATATCCTTGCCAGCCACTGGGGATGGGATAGTTCAGTGTTCACTAAGTTTTGGTTTCTCATCTGCGTAAACTGAACAAATAATCCTTGTACCTGAATAATGAAAGTCTCTGTGTCGCATGTGTCTAGAGGGAATAAAAAGGCCAAGGGATATCAGCCAGATTAGATAGTAGATGCTCCTGAAGGTGTTCTGGGAACAAAACCCAGGAAATGGTTTAAAAATCTATGCCTCAAAATTCCATGAAGAAAAGGGTAAGCTTCTGATACATATTATTAGGCATTCTTTGCTTTTCAAGCAGAACAAAAAGGAGGCAAACTAAAAAACAAAAACAAATGATAGCAAGATGTGTAATAAATAAATGAAGATGACTTTAAAATCCCCTCTGCCATTTGGCTGCTTGCCCTGGAGTCATTAATTGTGGTGCAGTAGGTGGCAGGCGGCAACACACTGGACCACTCCTCAGTGCCAGCGGTCTGTCCTGCCCCCTGGAGACAGCGGGGGGGGGGGGGGGGCACCTGCTTCCCAGGGACCAGGCCCCCTGCTCCCACCTGATGTTCTACCATTTCCAAGGATGCACTGAGATTTGGAGGCTTTGGGGACTGTCACTTTTACTTTTAAAACTGTGAAATGAACAGGAGAAAGCTTTTTTTTGTTTTGTTTTGTTTTGTTTTTCAGTTCCTTTATTAGAAATCTGCTTGAGAAATGAAAAAGACAGCTGCCCAGCCCAGAGGGGGCTGTTGGGAAGAGCCCCTTTGCTGCACTCTTTCACAGCGGTCAGACCCCTCCCACAGGTTCTCTTGGGTGAGTTCATCTGAGGGGACAAGGGCTGGAGCAGAGGGTTGTGGAGGGGCCGACAGGATGTCCCTTGTCGAGAAGTTACTGCAACCTAACAACCCCCAGGTGAGTCCATTTGCCTAGCAAAGCGGCACAACAGACCCTCGTCAACACACATCTGCTATTTCTCCCGCACCATGGCCACACACACTGACAGAGATCAAAGTTACAGGTGCTGAGTCTCGTCCCCCAAGGCCAGACAAGGCTTCCAGCTCCACACCCAGCTGTTAGCACAGTAGGCTCGGCAGGGAACAGGGCCGATCAGATGGCGGCTGCCTCCCTTCCCCCACTGCAGGCCGTCAGGCACAGGAGTTGCCCCAGGAACGCAGGAACAACGCAGGGCCGAGTGGCCCGCTGCAGCGGCGAGGCATTTACGCGGAATCTTCGGGGCCCACCGTGGGAACCTTCACACCTCGCTCATAGCAGAGGACAGGCTGACAGGTTTTAAAGGGGCACAGAGGCGACGCCTTAGGCGGCCTCTTGCTCTGGCTGAACCCGCTAGCCCCCTGTCACCCTTTTACAGACCCGGTAGGAGGCTCAGAAAGAAGGGAACGGGCAGCCACGGGATGGGGGTGGGGTGGGGGAAAGCGGGCAGCAGACCCCGTGTCAGGACCCACTTTATCGCTCGATCAAACTTCAACATTTTGGGGCTTCCTACCACCTTAGATCAAAACACAGAAAAAGGAGATTCGTTTAAAGAACATTTTCCTTCCCTGCCGGTCCACCTCTTCTGACGTTTATTTCAGAGGCGATTAAAAAATTAAACCCAAGGTCCTCCCTTGAGAGGTCGGCGGGGAGAAGGGGGTCGGATGCCTCGGAGGAGGGGCCCCAAGTTCCCGCTCGGTCCGCTCGGTCCGCTCCAGAGGCAGGTGTCTAAACACCTGATCCCTGACAGCGACCCAGGGCCACTCCATCTTCTTCCCCCCACGTCCCCTCGGGGGACGACAGGCGCCCCACAGTCCACCCCTGGGCGCGGCGAGGGGGTCGGGATCGCGGGCGCACGCTCGGGGGGCCCCGCCGGGGACCTCGGGATTTTGTGTCGCGGGCAGCTTCGGGGAGACACGGGGCGCCGGAGCGGCTTCTCCAGTTTGGACACTTTTCCGCCCGAGTTTCCCTTCGGCTCCCGGCTCGCTCTGAGCTTGCGGACACAGGCCGAGGCTTCTTCCCCCGGGGAAGCCCGGGACCCCGGCGGCCGCAGCGCCACTTACCGCAGCTCAGGCGCAGGCGGGGTCCCCAGCGCGGCGCTCGCAGGGGGCGGCAGGGCCAAGCGGCATCGCGGCGCGGGCTGCG